CGAACGCAGGCAGCGGTACATAGTCATCAACGGCATGGATCTCTGAGTCGTCTACAAAAGCCGGCGAACCCCTCTGAAACTTGTACCTCTGCCCGTTTGACTTCCCGACCAGCTAGGAGAATGGCATTTAGGAGTCTAACAGCGTTTGGGAGTCGAATGGCTTTTGGGAGTCGACATTGCCCTGAATTCAAAGTACAAAATTCTATCGAAACTAGCACTGACCAATGGATAAGTCGACTCTGCATTTTAAAATAAAGTTTAGGACTAAAATTTCTCAACTTATATACGAGTATATACGGGAACTATTTTTTACACTTAGTTCCTGCCTCCCAGTTTTTTTACACATTATCCTTCATTGCTACTTTCATTCATCACCAACTGATACAATGTTTTTAATACTAATGAGTGTTATACTTACCGTATATATATATATATATATATATATATATATAGAGAGAGAGAGAGAGAGAGAGTATCCAAAATGATGGCTGCACTCCTCAGTCTTCATTAAAATCTAAGTAACTTTCTTAGATATACACTAAAAATCAAGATCAACGTTTCAGTCCTATGCTGGGCTTTCTTCAGGATAAAACAAACTAACATGTAATGTACAGTAACCCACAACCTTATATACCATAAGGGAAATTTAATGATTGAAAAACTCACCCCGGCTGGTGTGGCAGCCCGGCTGGCATCCTGCTGATTGCTATACGCATGTGCAGTGCTGTCCAATCAATACCGAACTGCGTAATGACGGAACTCGCGTATCCATGGCAACATAATAACATTGCTGCAAGATTATGGCAACAGGAAGATGCAAATCGGGGAAAGTGTCAACAGACTGATCGAAACTAGCGATCAGTGTGGTGAAGCTGTGAAAAGTGAAGAGATGGATAGAGAAAAGCTGACACATGCCAACCAATTAATATAACATAAAGTACTAATGCAGAGATAGTGTAGTATTATTATGGCACTTGCAATACCAAAGTGGAAGCTTGAAAAGTGAAAGCAATTAAAGTAATACAGTGATATATCTAAATAGATATATATGATAAGGAACCCTGGTTAGGTACAATCTGGGTATAATGCATAAAATTTATGTGGTGAAAAAAGGTACTTATACTAACTCTGTAAAATATAAAGTGCTGTTGTGTGCTTATAATAGTGCAATAAAGTGCCTATAGTGTTTTAAAGTGCTAGAAAATTAGTAAAGTGCATAACAGGGATCTATATATATTTTAAAATTACTAACATAAATGAATGTATAATCTATACATATACAGTTAAATATAACTATTAAAGACACTACATATGATAGTATAAACAATTTGATAATACACAAGCTGGACAAAAATTAGAGGAATGAATGGAAGAGCAAATTCTCATTAAGTCCTCTAGGGGATACTGTATTAAGTTTTTGAATCCAGTATGCTTCCCTATTGAGCAACATAAGGCCTCTGTCACCTCCTCTTCTGGGCTGTGGTGTGTGGTCAATGGCTACAAACTTTATAGAAGACAAAGGGTATTGTTCAGCTAAGAAGTGTTTTGCTACTACTTCTTGGCTGAACAACACCCTTTGACTTCTTTAAAGTTTGTAGCCATTGACCACATATCACAGCCCAGAAGAGGAGGTGACAGAGGCTGTATGTTGCTCAATAGGGAAGCATACTGGATTCATGAAATTAATACTATTTTTCTAGTTTACATAAATAATTTTCCATTTGGCTTATGCCTCCTGGAACATCAACCCTGTTACATATCTTCGTATCATCAGCAAAAAGACATACCTTACCATCAAGACCTTCTGCAATATCACTAATAAAAACATTAAAGCGAATGAGTCCAAGTACAGATCCCTGAGGTACCCCACTGGTGACAAGCCCATGCTTCGAATATACTCCATTTACTACAATCGTCCGTTGCCTGTCACTCAACCACTGCCTTACCCATTCAACAATATTGGAATCCAAACTTAAAGATTGCAGTTTATTGATAAGCCTTCTATGTGCAACAGTGTCAAAAGCCTTACTGAAATCAAGGTAAGCAATGTCTACTGTACCACCCTGATCTATAATTTTAGTTACCCAATCAAAAAAATCAATAAGATTAGTTTGGCATGATCTCCCTGAAGTAAACCCATGTTGTCTCTGATCTTGAAATCCATGTGTTTTAAGATGTTCAACAATCCAATCCTTTAACATGGTTTCCATTACTATCCCCACTACTGAAGTAAGGCTTACTGGCTTATAGTTGCCCGACTCCTCCCTACTACCTTTTTTGTGAATGGGCACAACATTCGCTAACTTCCAATCTTCTGGGACTACTCTTGTTAACAATGATTGGTTAAATAACTCCGTTAATGGTTTTGCTAGTACACCACTAAGCTATTTTAATAACTTTGGGTGTATTCCATCAGGTCCCATTGACTTATTTGTCTTTACTTTTGACAGTTGAAATAGAACCTCTTCCTCTGTAAACTCACATGTGACAAATGACTCATTTGTCCTTTTTCCTAACTGAGGCCCCTTTCCTTCATTTTCATTTGTAAATACTGAACAATATGTTAAACTCACAAAATATGAGTGAATATCAGGCCCATCATCCTCAATTAGAAATGGTCTTCAGAAGGATATAAAGTAGATCTTCTTTAGCACTTATAAAATGAATAAAGAAACCAAAAATAGTGCAGATGGAATAAAATACAATGATTTATTATAAAAAATGCACTTACAAAATCAAAGTAATAAACAGCATATAATCCACTCAGGGGTAGAGATTGCAACAAAAGAGTCCCCAGCAATCCAACGCGTTTCGTCCACTGGACTTCCTCAGGGATTGGGAATCTGTACTTTCAAAATAACTTCCTCCTTTTAAAACTGCCTGATTTGCTCGATATAATTCATCTGTGTAATGGGATTGCGGCGTGCGTGTCATGCTGGAACGCATGACGGACATCCGGCGTTACTTCCGGTTCCGGTTTATTGTAAGAATATGCTATGCGTTCCACATGATGGTAAAACGGCAATGAATTATACTCCAGAAGATATCTAGGACTCAGAAACAAACCATATATTAGACATAATCATATAAAAATGCTCAAGCATAAAAATAGAAAGAAAGAAATAAAAAAATAAAAAGAAAGAAAAAGAAAGGGGGCCATGAAATAGATCACCCATGGGATAGATAAATAAAGATAATGAAGATACATGTGGAAAAAGGGAGGATGTTAAATATATGGGAAAAAAAACATTAATAAAATAAAGGATATGTATGTCCCTTTTTTTTTTTTACTGACTATGCTATTTTCTCTTCTGTGTGTGATTTGGAAGCTCTTATAACTTGCTTTGTCCCTTTCTTATAGATCATTCTGTCTTCCTCACTCTGGGTTTTTTATAATTACTAAATGCTAACTTTTTGTTTTTTTACTATTTTGACCACATCTGCAGAGTACCACAGTGGTTTCTTGAATGCTTTGCTTTTACTGACAAGCCTAATGCAATTTTCTGTTGCCTTCAGCAGTGCCCCATTTCTCTTGGACTCCATTTAAATTGCTCTAGAAAACTTTTGTTTTTGTGTGGTGTTAGTCACTGTTCATATTTTAAACCACACTGACTAATGATCACTGGATCCTAAACTTTCACGTACAGTAATATCTGATACCAGATCTCCATTTGTTAACAGTAAATCTAGTATGGCCTCTTTACGAGTTGGCTCCTCAACGACTTGTTTTAGAGACAATCCCAGTAGGGAGTTTAGAATATGTGTGCTCCTGGCACAAGCAGCTATTTTGGTTTTCCAATTCACATCAGGAAGATTAAAGTCAACCATGATGATAACTTCCTCCTTTATTGTCATTTTAGCTATTTCCTCAACTAGTAGATTATCTAACTCTTCGATTTGTCCTGGGGGCCTATAAATTACACCTACACGAGTTACTGTATGATTACCGAATTCTAACGTAAACCAAACGAACTCTATGTTTGCCTCACTAACTTTTATTAGGCAAAATTTTATGCTATCCTTCACATACAGGGCCACCCCTCCCCCTTTCTTGCCTTCCCTGTCTTTTCTAGATAAAGAGTACCCTGGTATTGCTATGTCCCAGTCATTTTTCTCATTATACCATGTCTCAGTAACAGCGACTAAATTTACCTTATCAGTTGCCATTATTGCCACAAGTTCATGGATCTTATTCCCTAATCTACGAGCATTTATAGACATGACTCTAAGCTTATCATTATTTTTTTTTTAATTCTTTATTTTATTTGTGCAGGGATAGTTACAGACAGCATGCACTGCCATAACAGCTAGGGCACACAGAGCTTCAGACATAGGTTTACATTGGTTAGACAGTAGAAATCAGTGCACATTTGTTGAATTATTGTCACATAACAAAGTGTTGCATCTATTCTAGTTATGAGATTAATGAACAAGGCTAGTGAAACACACACTACTGTAGATTTATCTATCGAGTTGGCATGGACTGCAGGTTATGCATGAAAGAAAAGCCACTTATAACTTGATGAACGTTTTGTAATGCCCCAAAAGCTAATGTAAGTGGAACCCAGTTCAACACTTGAGGGCATTCAAAAGAGACTGCACATTTCTTTACAGGATTAGAACTAATAACAATATTGGTGTGACATACATGCATAAACAGTTGCGAGGTAAACTAAGCAAGTATATGTAGGGTAACTGTCATGTGGCATGCTTAATGTTGTAGTGTATTCAAGTTAGGTATGGCTGGGGTTTAATCGCTTTATGTGTGGGAGGATACAGGCTAGACTGCCTGTCGGCAGGGTTAAGCGAGAGACCGAGGATTTGACATGGGTGAAGCCTCACCTCTCCCACTGGTGTATGTCTAGTGTACTTGGCTAGTGTAAATAGGTCCCCTCAGACCGCCCCCCTATGGCAATGGCAACTTTTGTTGGAAGTCCCTGTGTATCCCATAAGTAGGCATGGTCACCAAGAGTCCCATGAGTCCCGTCGGGTGGCCCCTCTCAGTCAATGCCCCTACGTGGCAGGTGGTGCACAGGCCTCCCGGTGAGCTTCTGCAGGGTATGTCCAGTATGTGCCTGGTGATAGTGCTGGAGCACAGTTGTTGTCTGCCGGGTTTTAGGCAATGCTGATCTCTGTGTGATTTTCCTGGTGGCGTTCAGCATCCTCGTGGGGAGCCTTCGGGATGTCCGTCGCTTGAGCTGCGCCTGCCGTTTGCACAGACGTTGTGAGGGGTGCTTCCTTCTAGGTGGAGCCGCAGGCTTTCGCTTTGGGCTCTGTTGTGAGGGAGCAGTTGGCTGCACAGCGGCAGGCACACTCATCATGCTTTCTAGTCTCCAGAATTCCAGGAACCGATTGTCCAGCCGGACGAGTATGTCCTCGAGTACAGTTAGGTGCTGGGAGCCATGTGGCATTCGCCATCTTGGTGTGACCGCCGCTGGGTGCACCCATAGCTGGGGGCTTGATTGTTGGGGTTGCGCTGCCCTTTGGGAGGGGACCGGGATCACCCCCACCTGTCCAAGGGGGGGGGGTTACGGGGCACAGGCCCATGCTTATCTGCAGCTCGGTTTCCTCGAAGCGGGGGATCGGCTGCTTCCCCCACCCAGCGCCCACCGGGCCGCTTTTCCCACGGGTGTAGCAGGACAGGTACTTCGAATCGCCCACCTCCTTTTCACTTTGTAGGTAAGGTAGCTTAGGTATCGAGTAGAGTGGCTCAGATTGAGTGGTAGTTGGCTGTAAAGTGCCTTTTTTGGCATATTGGTGGAGGAGCACCTCCGAGATGCATCCTGCCGCCATGCTGGTTCGGCTCCCTAAGCTTATAATTTTTTAACACACTTGCTACAGGCACCTTCTGTCCTTGTTTCGGGGGCAATTGGATTGATTTTTTATCACCCTTTTGTGCCCCCCCTCCTAGTTTAAAAACATCCTAGCAAAACCTCTAAACGTCTCACTTGTTCCCTTTTGAGAAAGATGCAAACCATTTTTTTTGTACAGTTTATTTCTATTCCAAACAGAGCTATCATGAGAAATAAAGCCAAATCCTTGCTCCTGACACCATTCACCAAGCCACATGTTAACGTCCCTAATACGCATCCACCTGTCGTTCTGAGTGTTATGCACAGGCAGAACATCAGAGAATGACAGTGTGGAAGCAACCTGCCGTATATCATTGGCAAAAACACAAAAAACTTCCTTTACCTCTGAAACCTCATTGCAAGCCAAGTCATTTGTCCCTAGATGGACAAGTATATCCAATTCCCCTTCCTGCTTTGCTCGCTTAACACCACTACCCTCAGTACCTGAACCTGTCTCCACAGCACCACTACCCTCAGTGCCTGAGCCTGTCCCCACAATACCACTACCCTCAGTGTCTGAGCCTGTCTCCATAACACCATTACACTCTGAAAGTGCCGAAAATGAATTATGTAGAGCAACAGACTGTGCAATATGCATTTTATCCACAACTCTAAGTCTGCCAGATCCTACAGTAATCCATCTGCCATTCCTAGTACGTCTCTGCGGCAGTGGCTTTGCTGCAGTTCCAGCCTGAGTTTGTTTACCAGATAATTTACAAATCTCAGACTTCAAAAATACAATCTCCTGCCGCAATATAGACAACTGTCTACAGATTAGACAGCATCCAAATCTCCAAAAAGTGGAATGTGAAACAAATGCATAACAACTATTACACTGAACTAAGTCTGCCATTTTAATGAGGTGAATCATTTAAACCAAACAAATCTTAATTTTTTTAAAAACATTTTTGTCCTCCTGAATACTTCAGCTTACTTCCGGTTTATCTCCAGAAAATCTCCAATCACACACTTTGTAGCAGCACTTAGAAGCAGCTGCCAAGCTCTATTAGCCAAGCTAATATCTACAACAATTTTGTAGGCACCACCCACTAGGAATGTTTAACACCTGGGTAAGCCTATGCTTATTTGCAAACAATAGCTAATTAACCAACAATCAATAGCTAATCAAATGAAATGCCTTACCTAGCCAATCAAATGAAATGCCTTACCAATTACCAACAGTAAATCAAACCTTGTGCAATCAGTAACCTTTTCCTACAGATAAATATATCTGTATACCTGTAACAGTAAAATAGAAAACTCTTAGCAAAATCTTAGACAGTTGAAGATTCTGTAAACCTCTCCAGAATATCTCCAATCACACATTTTGTAGCAGCACTTAGAAGCAGCTGCCAAGCTCTATTGTAAACGTGTAAATAAGTTCTTGTTTTTATGTATTTTAGATTAAGCTGTTCTTGTGTACAAGTACAAGTGCAAGTATAAATTTGCTGTTTACATTATATTGTATATATTTTGCCTGACCATTTGGTGTTTTATGCATGCTTCAGCTGCTCACTGATCTTGTTTTTATTTCTGCAAATACTTGTGTGTATATATTAGTATACTTCACATATTATCTATTCAAGTATATTTCTCTGGTTGCTATTTTCCAAATAACTTTGCGCACCTGCACCTTTTGGATTTTTTTTTTTTTTTATTACTTGAAGGTTATTTATATCAGAACTCCTTGTAGGTTGCTGCATCCTCATAATATTATTTTATCATTATTTAGCTGATTCCCTATAGCGCCAACTTATTCCTTACACAATTTTTTTACCCAGGTAGTAGCAAATAACATTATCTAACATGATGTTGATGTCAACCATCTGGATGGCAGGATTTTCTTATTTTGTTTGTTTTTTCTTTGGGTACTTCTCCATTAAAATAATCCCACCTATATTCTGCAAAAATAGGATAGACTACATTGCTTGATCCCTTCTGGTTTATAAGAGGTCTTTTGACTCCCCTTTGTTCAGTTGTCTCTATTTAATGTCTAACTATTTACCTTGTGGATACCAATAGTTTACAAGTAATTTGGAGGAAGTACCAAAGGAATAGATTATGTTACTATATTCTTGGAGAACTATCACTTATCTACTTTTAGAGATTGCTACTACTGAAAAAATATACTAAAACTTTTTCACATGATGATCCATTTTATTTGAAATTTATATTAAAGATTTAGCAATTTGCATCATAATCAAGATACCAATAGTTAAAGTGAGGGTAGTTATTGCTAATAAAGAGTATAAATAGAATATATTTTTGTATGTTGCCTTTTCTAAGCTGACTGTAATATCCAAAGGACAGAGTGTCTAACAATACAGATTAAGGATACAAATAAATCTATCTAAGCAAATCTGGGTATACAGTTCCACCATATGGCCATATTGTGTTAATTCCTGCACTACGTCATAGTACCCCAATATTGGTGAATCCTACACTTATTTTAACATTGGAGACAAACATGCTAACTGCAATATTGACTGCTTAAGTAGTGCCAGTGCTAAACGAACATTGCTTAAATTGAAGTGCATTCCAATAAAACTGAATTTGTATGTGTCTGCGCAGTTTCTTAGTCTGTATTTTATATAAATTGTGCTCATTACAATTGCACCACTGCTGAGAAATTTCCTTTTTTTAGCGCTGATAACAATGACTGACGAGGGAACTAAGATTGAGGCATCCAGTTGCAGGATAAAGAGGTATAAATTACCATTAATCTGGCAGAAGTTTCTATTGCACCGTAAGAGAATTGCCAAGGAGTTCCCTTCACTATAAAACACAGAAAATCATTTCCTTTCATGTTCTAATTAGTGGTGAAATGACAAAGCAGGCATTGATTAATTGTATGTACTATACCCAGAGGTAGGGAGAACTAAAGAATGATTATTGGTTTTGCTGGGGTTGGATAAAAGGATACTGGCAAATGACAACGTATTAATTAACAAGTGCATGACTGACAGCATTTTATAATAAAGCCAAAATAGCAAATTGATCACACATCACATTTAATAAACAATAAACTATAAGTAAAAAAAACAAACTAAAAGGTCATTAAACAGCTATAGCAAGTTAAGTTATATAGCGATTTTATAAGATCATTATACATATCTGTATTTGGCTAATTAAATCAATAACCATCACGTATGGGCTTTCAGCATTCTAGGAAGCAATATTAAAATAGTTAGAAGGAAAAAAAAATGTTAGAAGGAAAAGGGCTATGAATTTATTTTAGGAATAATGTTCAGTAGCAGTATAATTACATTTTAAATATGATAATATTTCAAATCTATTATCTTATTACACAAATTGTTTCGTCATGAGGATCTGGCATTGTTTTCTATCTGCCCTGCAATCACTTATCAATTCTTGCCTTCTGTCTATGGATTTCAACTAGCTATTCTTTTGAAACAAAAACAAGGGCAAGATGCCCAAGATGTCTCAGGAGGACTTACCTAAACAGCACTGTTCATTAGCTACCCTATAAAACCAATAGCCTTTGCCTAAGATATTTACACATTCTAGTTCACAGACACCCATGCCAAAAGATTTATACACTTCTTCACCTTCAGCTCTCTCTTGATCACAGCACAAGTACAAAGACTTTGCCACTAGGGTAACTTGGCATTGTCCAATTTAACAATAAGGTATGCAGTTGGTCGACTACGGAGCCATTAACTAATTGAGTTATATTTTATGAGCTGGAAATCATCCAATTGATTATACAGTTTTTTTTTCAATTCAGAGTCACTTGCTCCTTTGGACTAAAAATAAAAAGCTGGATGTTTAAAACAGTCAGTTTTATGGCTCACTGTACACTTTGCTTCTGTATAGAAATCACTGTTCTGCTTAATAGGACAACTAGTAAGTTAATTTCACAAACTTGTTTGTACTGATTCCGAATTAAATTTAAAAATCTTTAAACATGTAATATATCTTTTTGTCACAGGTAACATTTTGTATGCATGAGTAGTGAGTGCAAGCAAAACACTCTCACTTCTGAGGGACCTACTACCTTGAAGGGACAATTACCTATCTCCTAGTAATGTGCAATCTGGAAATTCTACGAATCATATATAACTTGTGTTGCAAAAAACAGTTGTAATTAGTGATGTCCCGAACTGTTCGCCGAACGGTTCGCGAATGGTTCGCCACGAACGGTTCACCACGGACTCGTCATTGAGTAAACTTTGACCCTGTACCTCACAGTCAGCAGACACATTCCAGCCAATCAGCAGCAGAATCTCCCTCCCAGACCCTCCCACCTCCTGGACAGCTCACTAAGAATGCAGCTTCACAATGGATGCTGTCCAGGAGGTGGAAGGGTCTGGGAGGGAGGGTCTGCTTGTACAGGGTCAAAGTTTACTCAATGATGAGTCCGTGGCGAACCGTTCGTGGCGAACCGTTCGGCGAACAGTTCGGGACATCACTAGTTGTATTACATATTTATGGGCGGGATTTTTTCTGACTTACAGGTACGGTGATCACCAGGAAAGGTAAAATGTGGGAACAATAATAAGAATAATAAGCAATAATGATATATCTCCAGATGAGAA